CTGTGTAATGATAGCCAAGCTAGACAGCTATCGCTATCGCCTTGTAGGACATACCAGCGGAATTCATGCCAATACTTTGCCCTCTCTGCGCCTCTGATCTCCGTCTTCTTGCCATTCTTACTTAAAATGATTTTGCATTCAGAAATTCGGGACTTAAATACGGATTTGATGCACGAGAAAATAGTGCATATTGGACGTGAAGAAGGGAGCAAGTTGCATGTGGGGAAAAAAATGCGCCTGATTTAAATGTCACACCTGAATGCTCACATCCTTTTAATTATGTTTGAAATTATGAACATTGCTCAACATCATGAAAATTAAACCTTATTTTCAATAAGCAATCCTGAAAAATATTTGGGGGTGCTTAACTTTTTTCCAGGTGTATATAAAACAAATCTACCCATTCACTTTGTTCATGTCAAAGATGTACAAAAATACATTATTATTTTTTAACCAAAAAAATATATGAATAATTAAATAAATGGGGAAAAAAATAGAAAAAAACAACTGTAGTAACAATGTAGTCATTTAGAGTGACCTTTGTGAATCCAAATGTATCCCCAGATGAAACAAAATCCACTTAATACATTATAAAACAAAACCGTAAACATTAAAATACTTCTAAATAAGTCCAACTTCATCACTTTTATCCACGTTTTCTTGACTTTTGACTTCTCTTATTTCAGTCTCTCCTGAGCTGAGGATTTGACATTATGGTAAATGATGAGGAAATTCTTGAATTTAAATTTTCAGCAGTAATTTTTTCATCTCAGAAATAATATGTAAAAGTCAGTATTTGAATAAAGTAATAATCTACATGAAATATTATTAGTGTCAAAGATATTGAGTTCACTTTTTATAATAGTCATAATTGCATATGCAAAGGACTTTTGTTTTGTGTGTACATGACAACATACTATCTGGACAAAAAGTAAACATCCACCATCTTGCTTTTGTTAACCCTATTGAACTAGTATTGTTGTAAAAAAAAATCAGTTTTTTTTCCATGTATTTCACTGCTTGATATTAACTTTTAGTCACTGATCATGCTGGTCCTGCTTTTTATCTAGAGTGAACATTTTTTATTGGATCATTTATCACTACACTTCATAACTATCACCTCTGTAGTGTAAAGTTTGCTGTGCTTGTAGTATGGAACAGGAAAAAAGTTGATGTAACACACTGGTAATGGAGCGTAACTACACTTTTTATGAACCATCTAACCTCACAACTGTTACATGTTTGGCTAATAATATATTTTAAAAAAGCTAAAATATAAAAATAAATACTGCCATTTTCTTTATGTGTAGGTATGTTTTGATGGTAAAAAAACGAAAATAAAGAGCATTGTTTGTCAAATTATAAATCAGTATCTGTTGGTGATATTAGTTTTTGATCTGCAGGAATGTTACCCTCACACTGGAGAAAGTACACTGTACCACCAGAGTGCACTGTGATTCAATGGATAACAGACTTTTCTGATCGTATTAAGTTGCTTCAGAAGATATCTGCTGCTTCAACAACTGGAGGTGCAGCAGCCCTTAAGGTAGGGTTAGAAGTCTAATTGATGTTGTCTTCTTATTCCCTTAAGGTAGGGTTAGAAGTCTAATTGGTGCTGTCTTCTTATTCCCTTAAGGTAGGGTTAGAAGTCTAATTGGTGCTGTCTTCTTATTCCCTTAAGGTAGGGTTAGAAGTCTAATTGATGCTGTCTTCTTATTCCCTTAAGGTAGGGTTAGAAGTCTAATTGATGCTGTCTTCTTATTCCCTTAAGGTAGGGTTAGAAGTCTAATTGATGCTGTCTTCTTATTCCCGTAAAGTAGGGTTAGAAGTCTA